GTTCCATGCAGCAATGTAAACTTGTAGGGTATCATGCGCCTGAGTGAGGAGCTATTCTTTGTGTGACCCCACAACTGGTTCACACTGGGGTCACAACTGGTGTTCATGGGGTATTCTGGGGTTACAAGCATGCACCTCTGTGGATGATGCAATTTTGCTACCATTCCAGGGCTACATTTGTTGCACAAATGTGACATCACATAAATGCACCATCTGTAACCTTGGTGTACTTAATTTTTTTACAACTGTGACCTGGAATAATCCTGGTGTGAACACACAATTGGTGCACATTAGGGATATATACATGTGCAAAAGAAGAACTTCGGTACACTTCAGGTTCACAGCAGGATCACTGTAAAATAACAAGACATATCCCCAGTGTGCACCAATTTCCCCACTTATTGGGGTGTTGGGTGTATACATTCAGATTTTTACGCGTGCGTCAGATTTAAGCGTATATGCGACATCTAACAATTGTTTATACAGTCAATGGAGCACTTCTCCATTGTAGGGCAGGGATTTTCAGTCAATTTTTCTCATGGTATTTACATTTTAAAAGATTTAGTGTTTGTCGTTTATGCAGTTTTGACACTTCCTCGGTACTGTATTAAATTACTCAAGACCAAGGCCAATCAGAAGATACGGGTATTTTAAATTTCTGCACATACAAAGTAATACTGTACTTGCTTTCGTATTTCTGCAGACTGGGGTTTTTTCACATAAGCTTTTGAAATAGTTCTTTTGATGCCCAGTTTCTTCGACTAAGAAATAAATCATATTCCATCTAGAGTGCTTGGATGAATTGAAGATTTCTTGAAAAGCTTTCCACTATATGTTGAGAAAATGTAAGCTGATAACCTATGTTTGAGGAATATTCAATTTAAGAGGTGTCATATTCAATGACACCTCTTTCTATTTACACAAGATTTCTTAAAAATTGAAAATTTCAGTCATTTTTCAGTACAGTAAATAAAAATGAATGATATGCGTCGAATGAATCGTTGAAATAACCGAATTCGTTGTGCAAATGCGTGGTGCGCGTTTTAAAAATAACACTTCCGCGTGGTCTGGCGAAGCATTTTTTGGCACTGAAGATCGGTCGTTTGAACTGCTGAAGAAAATAGCAAGAATAAAAAAAGATTGCATTTTCAGAATGAGAGTTCAAGAGAAAAGGAAGCATTAGCACTCACGAATTTTCTTGTCGAAGTTTGCGTGAAGGTCGTCACGTTCCCCCTTGACCTAACTCTCAATGGTTTTCTAAAAATAGATTTTAAAAAAATTAGGTAGTTGAAATGGTGAAGAGAAGTTAACAAATCCGAAATGCTGTAGTGTTTTTCTTTTCTTCGATGAGCTCTCAGAGAAGCGACAACAATGCAGAGAAGTGGAAATCAATAATGTACTGTATTTATCTCCTCTGCCTCGAAAGCTGCTTTTCGATCAATATTTTTGCGATCTTTCTCCACACCAGCTTTCCGTGCGAGCGAATTTAAGGACAGGGATATTTGCGTATTATTCTAATACCTGTGTTTTGAATGATTCATCCTTTAACCAAATTATTTTTCGCTTTTTCATCAGGGAAATTGTCTAGGAAAGAGAAAGGGTGGTTCCTCCGCGCCGATCGTATTTGTCCTGGGTAAGTACAGTGATTTGCTGTCAGACACTTGGTGCTGCATACAATTCAAAAATATTTCAAGTAAATTATGTTAATGATGAAAATTCGTAAAAACAACTAACAATTTTTTTTTCAGATCTACTTTCATCCGAGCCGCACAAAAAAATTATTTTTAAAACTTAGAAGCTGAGTTTCGCATTGAAACAAAGTGATGGTTCTCTCTTTCTGTTGCGCTCGAGGATGGAATTGTTGTTTAAACAGTAATATTTTCATCTCCTCGGTTTGCACGAAAGCAAGACACGCCTTTTTAATTTTTTTCTGGCAGAAAGTCGCGTTGTTTACTTAAATAATGGAGGGGCGTTCAAAATGAATTCCGACGTGCAAGCCTGCATGAAATATTACTAACCAGAGGTTGAATGTTAGCTCGGGACCAAATTTAAGCCAAACTTTTTCAACCTGCACATTACATGGATTAACCGTGATGAACTTATTCTTAATTTTTTT